CAAAGTGAGCATCAGTGAGCCCGAAAAACAAAATCAAAACTTGAGGACCTTACATTTCCACTGACATTGGCTCAGATGAAGCGGCTGCTGATAACCCGTAGATGAGATGTGAGAGTTGTGTTGACACCTATACTGTGTCTATGTAAACATACACTGAAAGTTCTGTACATAATGTGGGTTGAGTTGCGTCTGAATGGGACAGTCAGCCCTCTAACTGTCCTCCCTCTTGTGCAGCACTGGACCCGTCACTCTACTGTGAGTGTGTGTGTGTGTGTGTGTGTGTGTGTGTTTATATGTAAGAGAGAAAGAGAGAGAGACAGTGAGGTGGGGTGAGCAGGTGTGGTCCAGGGCCAGGAAAACAACATCCGACTCAGCCACAAGACATATTTACAGCACTGCTCACCACAAAGGAAGAACACTGAAGAGGAGGAGGCTGTTAGAGCAGTAGAAGAAGGGACAACCACAGGGATTGAAGACTGACACCCCCTGGTGGAAATACAGTGTCACTGCCACTTCATTTTTTTACTTTTTAGTTTTTGTAATTTTATTTTTTTTTACAACAGGTGTTGCATCCCACCTCTTTGGTAATCTGTTGGGTGATTTTTAAATTAGCCAAGAACTGACTTGTTATATACCAACATAAATTTGCAAATTAACATTTCCACTACTCTTGGGAGTTTCAAACCTAATATTTTCCTCTCATTTTAAAAACAAAGCACCAGTCGTGTGTTAAACAGCATCTGATATCAACATCAGCCTATTTTGAAACTCATCCTGGAGCTAGCTGCTGCTCTGACACCCACGCCGGCAGCTCTCAGCACTGCTTCTTCACTGAAGAGTTTAAATCCACACGCGGTAAGCGGAGTTTCAAATTACAGAAGCAAAGTTGTGATGGAAACTCACGTTAAATTGAGTAATTGTTAAAAGCATTGCCTAACACACTGGTAGATTTTTGTATGTGCTGTATGCTAATGGTGAACTGTTATCAAGGCTATTAAGATCATGAGGGTTTCAACTTGGTAAACAGTCATTTACTGCATGTTAAAAAGTGGATAGTGAACTCCAGGGCTGTCACTGACCTTTGTAGAAACACATATGAAAGAAGCCTTAAATTAGATACAGAAGCTAGAACAACAGCACATGGCATCAGTAATTTCTTTCTACGGGGTTATAATATATATTAACTGATGCTGTGTTTAGAGCTGAAACAATTATTTGATTAAATGATTAAACAATCCAGAAAGAAATCAGTAAATATTCTGATTAAGTCATATTTCAAGTAAGGAAATGTCACAATAACTGCGGTTTTTAGCCCTTCAAAACAAGAAGACTTCCTGCTTTTCTGTTATTTCAGGGTTTTTGGACTTTCAGTTGGACAAAACAAGATTTCTGAAGACCATCTTCAGCTGTATGAAACCGGGACTGAATGGCATTTATCAGTGTTTTATTTTATAGACAAAACTAATAGTCACAAGAATAACTGACATATTAATCAGTAAAGAAACTAAATGTTAACTGCAGCCCTAGTTAGCTTGACCTGCCGTGGCCAAAAATCTATTAATGCAACTTAAGAAAAAGACTCTTCAGCTTTTCTGCAGAGCGAAGAGCTGCTCAGTGTGGGCAGCTGAAACAAACGCCTCTCCCGTCACAGGCACTCTGTTCACTCCATAGTTACACCTTTAATATTGGCCTCTTGCACATGTACAAGTAGAAGTCTCCATAAATAGAACTATACAGCAAAGTGCATGGAAGGAACAGTACAAAAATACCTCTGGATTTATATCTGCAGCAACACGTTTAGTTTTTTTTTTTTTTGAATTTCTGATTGAAAAGTTGAAAATTTGAGTGAGACCAAGATATCAGTAAATAAATAAAATACAATGTCATAATTTTACCTAGATACATAACTCTTAGAAATCTGAAGACATCATTCTAGTATATAGTTTGACCCCCCTCCCCTCCTCTCCCGCTAAGCCACAGCGACCCCTCTGTTAGAGCAGGAGGTGACCACATTTAAACAAATATTCAAAATATACAGAAAATATGGAAATATATTATATATAGATACGTATAGAGTACGGTAGCAATGTTCAGGGCAGTTTGACCGTGTTCGCCGCGTCCACGTCGTCCTTGTCGCCGGTTTAAATGATGATTCTTCAGCCAGTATGAACTGTCACTGCTGCCCCTGATGTTCTCCTCTGTGTGATTTCTGAGAACTCTGCTCCTCAGGAAACAAAAAAATAATAATAATAATACCATGAATCCATCCCACTGTCACTTAATGACTCTCCATTTATGATATAATCTTTTGCTCTTCCTTGACATAAATCAGAAAATAGTTCCTTGATTCCTCTTTTGTGTTTTTTAATTTATTTTTTTGCGTTTTTATCCCCAAAAAATACTTTTTAAAAAACTTCATTCTCATCAAATGTTGAGAAAAATATAGACCTCTGATTAACTCAGCTCTCTCCGGTTATATAAGACTGCAGTCTACTCCGGTGGAACGCAGGACCACGTCTTGGCATCGGCGTCTTCTGGACTCGGTGTTACCCAATCCCAGCTGTAAGCACACTCCAACAGGCTGAGGGAGGAGCTCCTATAAACTGGGACTGGGACTAGAGCGCAGGATACGCACCTCCAGACATCCTTACAGAAAGGGTTGAGGGAGAGAGAAGGAGGGAGAGGGAGGGAGGTGTCTGGGATGACCTCTCCTGTCCTTTCATACCATACAAGAATGACCCACAGTGAGGTTTCACTCTCACCCCTGCGTGTTTGTACTCTCCCACACTGAAGTCTTTCCTGTTTAGAAGCCCTCTATATGACAGTAAGCCTCCAGACTGGAGAAGAGGATGTAAAGAAACCAGAGGCTGAAAAAAAAGGCTGATGTGGCCATTCTGTGTCCCCGGGGCCCGCCCAGTTCCCCCCCAATGTGGGCTCGGCGCCGGTAAAGCAGCACCGAAACGGCCATGAAGGCGAAGATGGTGAAGAGAGTGACAGAGAAGGCCAACGAGCCAGCTTCCACTACAAACGGCTTCCCTTTCATCTGCCAGTAGATGGCCGCCACCGACCAGGCCACGCCGATTCCCAGGAAGACGTTGACGGCGTTGCTGCCGGTCACATTCCCAATGGAGGCGTCTGCGTAGGTGTCCTGGACGGCTGATACCTTACTGGCAAAGGTGTCTGTGCAGAGGAAAGATGTCTGTCACTGTGTCTCACTTTGATCAAATTGTTTTTAAATGTCAAGGTGCATTCTTGACATTGTAAAACTAGTTTGACAAAAAGTTTGAATTCAAGGTGCACTTACTAGCTTTCAGCTGATGCTTCAATCACATCTCTTTGTCTCAGTATGGGACTTTGTCACATGATTAACAAGTGGTGCACATGGGGCTGCTAACTATAACTATAAAGTTCCAGAATCTGCCTATATGGGAGGCTCCAGGTTACAGCTTGTGAAGTTCCCGTGGTGAAAAAAACACTATCAATAAATTGAGGGTCAGCAGTCGACTGTGTTCTCGTCTTGTTTGTCTATAAACACTTATAATATTCAATATCTTTTTTTTCTTCAATAAAACAATAAGTCCTGATTCATTAATGCTGCACAGAGGACATTGAAAATGCTGACAGAGTCCAAGTTGTTGGTAATATATTGATCCTGTCTAGTGAAAATGTCAGTTTGGAGGAAATAAGCTGTATTGATGACAAAGTACGTTTGCTGTTTGACAGGGTCATGAAGTCACAGGATTTTCTCAGCCCATATATGAACCATAAGAAACATTAAGAAGCTAATCATCCTTTCTACCCCTGTTGTTGGACTGGTGGACTCACCTGGGACAGATGTACCAAGCGCCACAAAAACAACAGCAGTGACCGAGTCCTTGAGGCCGATGGTGCAGCCGAAATGAGACGCCAGGTCGCCGATGACAGCTGTGAGCAGGCCGATGATGATGATGGAGACGGTGAAACAGGCCCAGCCATTCAGATAGTCTGTGGGGGGGACGCAAGCGAACAGGACCTTCCAGAAGACGGTGAGGAAGTGCATGACGTAGTCAAAACAGGACGGCAGCCGTTCTTCCCCTGTGTCCTCTTCGTCCTCATCTCCTGGGGCGAAGTGTGGCCGAGTGGGGGGGTGGGATGACAGCAGGGAGTGAAAAGTGGGATATATTAAAGTACAATGGGATGAGTGGAGGAACAGAGAGGATGAAAAGATAGCAGCATATTTGGGCAAAGATAAAGCGAGAGCAGTGAGGGAAGATTTTAAGTGAAGACAGAAAACAAAGGAGAGAGAGACATCGGATGAGGAAGCAAACCAGAGTATGACAAGGAAAGGATGATGACAGATGATGAAGCACAGAGTTGAGGGCAGAGTGTAAGAAGCAGAGGAGCGTTGGAAAACAGTAGAGCGTTAAGGGATCGATAGAGGAGATGAGAGAGTGGAAGGAAGGAACAACATTTATTTAAAATGGCACCGGGACTTAAGAGAAATCACTTCAGCCTGAAGATACTGTTGTACATTTTAAATGCTATGAATACATCTCAGGCTTAATAACTGCCACAGGGAGTGAGCTGTTTTCATTTCTCTAAAGAGCTGCATGTTTTTGTTATTTAATACATGGAGATGAAGTTTCTAGATACATAAATGTTACTGTTGCTTTAGTTGGTAGGTTTCAGACTTTGCTTAAGCTAATTCGTTTAAAGATGCAGGGTTAATAACTTTCACTTTTAGCTTAGCCTACACACCCAAACTACATACTTATCCTGAGCAGGTTCTAGGAATGTGATAAAATGAGGTATAATCAAATCAGACAGTATGCATACTGGACAAAAATATGGTTGAGGGTTTTTGTTACTGTGTGCTGTTGTCCCATAATGCACTGCAGAAAAGAAACTTGGCTGCTCACAACAACAACAACAACAACAACAAAAAACTCAACCAAATTATCATAATTCTCACAGTAAACCTGGTGGACAGTCAGCGACACAGGCCTGATTCAACGTGTCAGGTCATGTGAGCTGCATGCATTTTTCACTCATGTGTGGATCATGAAAAAATAAAGAGCAACGCTGGATTAACTATTTCAGCCAAAGTGATGGACTGAGCTCTCCATGGCAGACGAAGCAACTGCTGCTCTGCAGGCTGAAGATCTGATGCTGCCACTGCCTGACATGATGGATGAGTTTTCTATTAAGCGCATGAGATTATTCCACAGCTTCAAGAGCTTTGCTTTCCGAGGAGACTCCAATGACAGGAGTGTTTCAGGACTGATACTGGCACCAGTACTTCTGGGATGAAGTCTGTAATAGTCTATATTTCGGACTAGTGGCATCCAATGTCCTTATTAGTTTATCTTTTAAATTGATACCACTCTTTTGTTGTCTGTGAAACAGGGACATGGCTAGCTTGGCTTAGCATAAAGACTATAAACAGGTGAGACTATGAGTCTGGCTTTGTTCAAAAAGGCTCAAACCACTGGCCTACTAGCTCCTCAAAGGCTCACATGTTAACATTGCTTAAGGCATTTGTTTCATATTTAAAAAGAACAAAAAAGCACTGATCTTGGTGCTAGCTACGCTAACCATCTCTTAGCTGTAGATTTACTGCACACTAATGAGTGGTATCAATCTTCTCATCTAACTCTCAGCAAAAAGCAAAAAAGTGTATTTCTAGTATAACTATGTTATAAAAGTGTCTAACAAGGTATTACTTTCAGATGTCAATTTCAAATATTAAAAAGTGGCTTATTATTGTGCCGGTACAGTGGTTAGCACTGTCACCTCATAGCGAGAAGGCTCCGGGTTCAAACCTCAGGGCTCTTTGTGCCTGCACGAGTCTCATTTGGGTCCTCTGGTTTCCTCCCACAGTCCAAAGACATGTAGGTCAGCTTGGATGGTGACTCTAAAATGAGTGATTGTCTGTGCCCATGTGTCAGCCCTGTGACAGAATAGTGACCTGTCCAGGCCTCTCGCCCAGTGTCAGCTGAGATCAACTCCAGCCCCTGCGACCCTCTACAGATGAGCAGTATAGATAATGGCTGATTTATTAATGAATATAAATTCTGAGGGCCCTGAAATTCAAGACATTAAGAAACATGATACACAATGATTTATACAGCCATGTAGATTTTTTCCATAGGTTCATAAAGTCTGAGTTCAGCATGACAGTGGAGAACATTGTGAATTTGAACAGTACAGTACCTGCACTGACTGTAATGGCCTCCATGAACTGTTCTCTCCAGGAATTAGTCCCCACCACCAGTGCCAGGTTGGTCTTCTTAATCAGCTTGTCCACTGTGCTCTGTGTGATATAACACCAAAACAAATATCAAATCTATTCATTATTTATTGACAGTGACTATAATCTGCATCCATAGAAACTCATAAGAAGTACACGAGCTTCGCCACATGATGGCAGTGCCGTCCAGTTGCTGGCAGCAGAAACCTCTGCGTGATGCATGATAAAACCAATCACCAGAGACAAATATGGTGGGTATTCTTTTTGGCTGAGGAGGTTAGAGGATGCAAATTAACCATATCTCCTACAGAAATGCATCGATGTGGATTGAGATGCCTCTGAGAGGCAGCATTACCCCTGTGAAATCAGAAATATGCACAGTAGCTGTTCTTTCGTTCAAGGCGGTGTCTACTGTAGTTACACTAGTTTCAGCTTTCAGCTGTATTTCTCAGGCATCTTAGGCTGTGTTTGCTCTGTTTGAAGATAAACCTTTCCCACCTTAAACTCATATGATTCCTCAATAATGACTTCCAGCTTGGAGTTTTCCCCCAGCACCGGTTTTCCCATTTCTGCAATCCGCTTGGCTTCCTCCTCGTCTGATGTCAGCTTCCTGTCTGGCACGTCTGAGTGGAGATGGAGCAAAATGAAAAGAATTCACAGTGAGGATCGTGGCAATCAAAATAGGTCCAAACCATCAGAAGGCTGCCTTACTGTTAACAGCTTTATAATGCTCAGCATGACAAAGAGACACGACTTGTATTACATTCACAATTTAATTCACATCTGTAAAAAACCACAAGACTAATTGTAGTAACCTCTGCTCCATAAATACTACAAGGTCTTGGGGGTCAGACAAATTTGCATGCTTGATTAATCAAAACACAAACAAAGGCAAATACTGGGCAAATCCTTTTATTATTATTATTATTATTTTTGAATAATGGAAATTATCCCGTTCTTATCCACAAGTGCTGGAGTTTACCATGACTTTCAATTCCTAAATGGCATTTTTTAGGATCACACATGACATTGTTAAACAACGCAGGTCATGCACATGTCATTTTACTCCTAATTTTGTCAATCCTGGTAAAAATCAATGAGTTTAAAGGGCCAGTTCACATTTTCTCATTATTCCTAATTATATCTAAGCTGTTGTGATACCCGCTGGTAACAATTGTTCCACCACCCCAGTACACCTGATATTAGACTGGACTGTAATTTGTTCAGTCTGATATTGTGCTCAGGTAAGACAGTTTTTTAGGTGTTTTTAGGTGTGGTCAGTAGCAAGTGACTTCACTGTCCTGTCAACATCATTTTCATTGTTCTCATAAATCTGTCATGTTTCACAACTGCAGCTTGCTGCGCAGAGAGCTGACGTCTCCATTCTTAATCTTTAAAATGTAGCCATGCTTGCTTGACTGTTTGTCCATCTCGTGGAAACGGCCAGTAACATCCAGGGAAAGTAGCAGCGATTTAGTGATCTGGAACCGTGGGAAATATAACATAGGTGACTTGCTATGCATGTGTGAATCAAAGTATCAAAAGATGTGGCAAAGAAACTGTTCAAATTAACATGATTTACAACAGAGGTCACCACTGTGTTAAGATGGCTGTAGAAACTCATAAACATAACTTGGGAAAATAAATCAAACCAATCCAGGCTGAAGGTCCATGTAACAGCCTTTTCTAGGGCTTTTAACCACATGATGTAATTTTCATCATCAGAAAAGTTAACTTACTGAAAACTTACTGAAAAGTTGCTCTGCTGACAAATATCATCCATGAAATCTACTGAGCCTGCACGTCTACAGCCACTGTTAAAGATGTGTGGTGAAAAGGTGCAGAAAATGCTGACAAATGAGCCTGGTTAACTCTTTCTAAGGTCAGGAATGAACTTTTGATGTTGTGTGTGATTTGGACAAACTGGCCCTTTAAAACTTGATAAAAACAGACATCTATCCCAAGATTTCAACTTTCAAGGCCTTTCATTAAAAAAAAACCTTTAAGGCTTTATTTTACATTTTTCAAATGAAAAACCAGCTCGGGGCAGCAATGATCAGTCCGTCTGTCTGCCCGACTTGTCCTGTGAGGCTCTGCTGCAGAAAGAAGCCACGATGCTTCACACAGTTCCTGAGTGTGCTGAAAAACCACAAAGAGCTCCATAACATCAATTCCGTGCTGTCGAACCCTATCAGGAAGGATGGGTTGTGCATGCAAAGGCCTCTCATCCCTCTCTGTGTGTCACACCCCTGCCGAGCCACCTGGTGCAGAGGCCTTGTCGTCTTTTATCCGAGCCCTGAGTTCCAGCTTGTTGCTCTTTGCTGACAACACGCTTGCCATTGAATATTAATGTTGCCATTAAAGATCACAGCAAAGTCCTCTTGATAGGAGGGTGTGTTGGCAAGCGCACACACACAGAGGCATGCATAATATACCAGTGTATGAGTGCCGCACACACACACACACGTTTAAACTAAATCAATTACAAACCCCAGACTGTGTGTACCCTGAAGTCCTGACAGGATTTCTTTTGCTCATGTTTAAAATTTGATTACCAAGCTATTCCCCTGCTCTGTGCTGCACCACTACATGACACAATTTCCTTGACAATTAAATAACAATCATACAAAGGTAATTAAATCTCTAATTTTGGAACTGCAGGTTTTTATCTTGATGGCTAGCAAGTGTTTCCACCTTGTTCTTGACTGGAGAACATAATGTATGGATTAATGATTAATGAATCCACTGATTAGCATGCAAATCCATCATTAAGTGCGGGTGAGAGCAGCAAAAGAGCATGTATGGATGTGTGGATAACGGTGTGGGGTTTATTAAAATCAAACCTGATTTCAAATCTTAATCAGCAGCTGTAGAAAAAAAAAACTTCCAAAATACCACTGGTTTTATATCAAGACCCTGACAATTAGTGATGATGTTTCATCCACACCATGCACACACAAAGGAGATGATGTTAGCGGAGATGCTGGGAGGAGGGAAGAACGACTTACCGTCAGCTAACAACAAGGCTGTGGAGGAGAGGGGACAGGAGGGGGGAATGGAGAAAACAAAATAGAAAACCCACAATGAGCAGTGGAAGAAACAAACAGCGGATAAGGGGAAGAGCAGGTTAACTAGAAGGAAAGAAATGTGAAGGCCTCAGAGAACGGCTGGGTATTGACCCTGAGATATAATATATATAGCACTGATAATTTGATCAGCTGAGGTAGTGGAAGGAATATGGTATTTTGTAGCTTTTTATGGGTGTGAGGGAAGAATCGAGGTTTATTGAGGGAAACAGCGTCCAACAGAAATCCACAAATGGCACGATGTTTTGCACTGTGAGCTCCAGCTATGAGCGTCACACTAATTCAAAGGTTTATTACTCCCGGCTTCTGTCAGATGACTTTGGAGATAAGTATTCCTCATAAACCTCGATTTAACAGGTTTGCTATAAAGTAGTGTTGGACCTACTGTATATCTGCATTTGCCAGAACTTGGCCTTTGAATAACTACTTTTACTTCCCATTCCCCTAAATTAATTTAATCTTTATCATAATAAAAAATGTGCTTATATTTAAATAAGCCCCTAAATGTCAATAATAACTGAAATTAAAATAAAATGTATATAAAAAATGTAAAATATTTATATAGGTTTTTCTAAATCTCTTTGAATGACTCCTGAAGAATTTTCTTATTTGTTTTAGTAATATAAAGTATAATGACATTATATCTGCCTTAATTCAGCGCTTGATGAACAAAATTCTCATTTATTTTCTCCAGATGTTTAGTTGCACCTTTACAGATCACCTTGTCTGGTGGAGGCATCTACAAATGTTTAAATAGAACAGTTGGTGGTTTATTAACTGTGTTACATAAGAGCCAGTGTTGCTACTGTCATTATGATGAAGATGATGGTGACAGGATTTTATTTGACAGCTTCACTTGGAGAGTTGTGTATAAACAACAACAAAACCTGGTCCAGCCTGCCAGGAATAGCAGCCGGCCAGCCTGAAAACCTTGTTAGCATATTCTAGTTTCAGTGTCTTGTGGGGGTTTAAATGCTGCTGCGGAGGCTTTTCTCTTCAGTACATAAAAATCCTATAAGATGCACCAAATCATTGTAAAATTTTGAGACCTTATATCTGCAAAAATATATTTGCTACTGGCAACATAACCTGCACTCACTGAGTTTTAGCAGCTTAGGCTCTGTGCACCCAGCAGACAATGCAACACTGATATCACCTTATAAAGCTGATACTCCACTGTGCTCTCCAGCTAGGTGCTAACTTTGTCTGCCTGCTGCTTTGTGCTGAACAGGTGGCGTACAGTGGAAACAGCAGGAACTTGTGGGCTGTAAAATCAAAACAATGAGCGGAGAGAAGCTACAACACTGTAGAGCTGAGGGCAGCTGCTAAACTGAGGGATATTTCTCATCTCTGTGAACAGCACCTTTCACATCACATGTATCATCCATTGTTAATGGAAGATATTAAATACTACAGCTGTAATATAAAAAAACTGAAATGACAGAAGTTATTATTGATCTATGATTGAAATATTCCTGATTTGCATGAAAATGTAAACAAATTAATACGCTTACATTCACTGGCTCGACTCATTTCACTGATACTGACGCCGTACTATTTCTTATATTGGATGTAATACACCATTATTGTGCCTTTTACTGTCCCAGTCTTGGATTATGTCTTCATTCTGGGATTTTGTATTTTTATTGTTAAAAAAACTGTTTATTTCTTTGTAATTGCCTTTTTAAATCCCTGTGCTCCTGTTGCACCTCAGCCACCCAAAGAGGATCTAGCTTTGAATGTCCTCTCTTCCATTTTTTTCTTATGGGTTTTGAGCAGTGTATTCTTAGAGATTATGGGTTTGATCAGAATCTGTTGGACTGTGTCGGGCTGTACAAATAAATTTGACATTTTCATGGCTTCTGAGGCTGTGACTGAAAGCAGACATTTATTCAGTGAGAAGCAATTTCACCCGGTATTCTGAAAACCCTTCAGGCTGCTAATCAACCAACCAACCACAGACATCCACACAGTGTAAAATAAAATACGCTGATGATAAATGTGCCACATTCAGATGTTCAGAAATATCACGTCACTTTTTTAGAATTATGATTGTGATGATGCCTGATTGTTTATCTGCACGCTGCGCTGCTGAGCAAATCAGCAACACGTTCAGATGCCTGCGGCAATGTAAAAGGCAATTAATGACATGATTAAGATTTCTATTTAAAAAGGCTCAAAAAGTCGTTGAGCGAGGCAGATAATTACATGACAGGATACGCTGTAAGTGGATGAAGAGAGAGAGGAGAGAGTGTTCCCATGCCTTTCACAGCCTCTAGAGAGCCACGCAGACAACTCTTCCTTTTAAAATCTTCATTGTAATTTCTCCATACTTTGATAAAACAAATCTCTCACACCCCTGAAAGGATCAGAGGCTCTAAAACACAACACAAAGCAGCCCCGTCCTACATGAATGGACCGGCTCCTCCTGAAACCTCTTTCACCGACACATGATTCTAATTAACCTGTTTGTGTTCGGAGGCAGCTTATCAACTTCCTAAATCAAATACAGTCCACAGTTAATCATCATTAGCAGC